TATATATATGTATGTATATAGGTAAAACGGTATAAAAAGTTAAAAATCAAATCACATATTTTCACATTTGAGTTTTTATAAAATATTATCTGATAAGGCTTTATTTTGTTGTTAAATTAGAACAAAAAACATAAATAAAATATGAAAATAGCATTAATTGTTTGAATGCATATTGCCCTTCGTCTTGTATACCAAGTCTTTAAACTGTTATTTAATTATTTTTGCAATATGGGAAAGCTTGGTGTTTGAGTCTGGGATGAGTCTCAGCTACTACCACACCAGGTTCTAGCCCAGTATCTGTAAAACTGGCAGAGCTAAAGAAATCTTTGTGTTGGGTATTGTTGATTAGTTGTGGCGGCCATGTTGAACTATTGACTCTGAAAGTTAATCAGTTTCAGTCGTACATCCATTGATTACTTTCTGAGAGTTTTGTTAAAGTATGTTGACTGGTTCATAAGATGTTTTGCTAACAGACAAACAAACTTGCACACATTAGGCCTTTGCATGATCAAGAGCAAAAAAATCCCAAAAATAAAAACCCCAAACAAGTTTTTAGATGAAGTTACATAAAAATATAACTGTTCTAAACTCTTGTCCTGCAGATCTGTTACCTGCCAAAAATGGAGAGGAGCCCACCATGCAGTTCCTGCTGGAGGTCATGGAAATCCTCACCAGCTACATCAAGAAGACCTTTGACAGATCCACCAAGGTTCTGGACTTCCACCACCCCCACCAGCTGCTGGAGGGCATGGAGGGCTTCAACCTGGAGCTCTCAGACCAGCCCGAGTCTCTGGAGCAGATCCTGGTGGACTGCAGGGACACCCTGAAGTACGGAGTGAGGACAGGTAGGAGGCCTGAGGACTTCTTGCTCTGATCCATACCTCTTGTTGGTCCTCACGAACATTTTTTATATTGTTTGTGCTGCTTTGTGGTGTCTTCATCTACATCAGGCCACCCCAGGTTCTTCAACCAGCTGTCCACTGGGTTAGACATCGTGGGACTGGCAGGAGAGTGGCTCACGTCTACAGCCAACACCAACATGTGAGTGTTGTTAAATCACAACGTGTCTGCTCCTGTTCGCTTCTCAATGGTCCATGAAGAGGAGAAGCTGGCTTACGGCGACGTACAGTGATCACTATCTTTAGCTAATAAACAAAAGGAAATAAAAATGCACCGGCTGTCAATCAAGCAGACAAATAAAGAGCCCAAAGAGGGTGTTTGCACAGCGACACCCCCGCAGTGTTGTCGATACACTGGCCTGCTTGTATCGGAGGTGACATATAATTCAGCCCTGCAGGAAAAATAAATTGCATATTGATTAGCACTCAAACACAGGGTCTCTGTTTTGTGTTATGTGAGTTTTTGTGACGTAACAAAGTCAGGGAGGGAAAAACCGAGCATCATATCCACCTGATAAGAGCAGCCATCAAGGCTTTGAGGCTGCTCGGTGCTTGATAATAATAACTATAATCAAGTTCAGAGGGCCGAATCATAGTTACACATTTACAGTAAATTAAACCGTGCAGTTGCAGATGAAGCCCCTGTTTTAGTTATAAAGAGGCAAGTCTTCAAAATCCAAACCAGTTTCAATCTTTAAATCAAAGGCCTGGCACTAGGAATGTTTATCACCCGCCACATTTCATTCACAATTTATAAATTAGGATTATTTGACGGTGAAAAATGACAGAGTTGCAGTCATTTTAGTCAAACTTTGAAATCTGTATGTTGCATGACGACTCTCAGCTACTGCCCCAGCTGATCATTTCGAAAAAACTGACTGACTTTCAGCCCTTTTTGTGTTTTCTAAAGTCAGTTGGCTATGGCAGCCATCTTGAACTGGGCTGACTCCAAAAGCCAGTTTGTTGTGGCCATACACTAAAAATTACATGCTTCATTAAGATTTGTCCAGTAGCAATAAAAATAATAATAATAAATGAATAGTTTGACTAAAAGTGTCGACCAAACTTCATCAAGGTGATTTATTGCTGCATCAACTTTTTGCTAATTTTTATTGTCTGTCCAAACAGGTCTCACTTATAAATGAATCTTTGAGGCTCAATGTGATTTATTTGTATAAATAAAGGTTGAATGAATGAATGAATGTAAAGTAAAAGCCTTTTTCTTAACAAAATCACCTGAGAGTCTCTGATTTCTCCGATTTGGCCATTTTTTAATAATCCCCTCTTCTTAGTTAAAGCAAGACAATTTTAATTTGAAGGTGTCAATGTTGAAAAAATAAGCTGTTGAAGCTGAAACAAAAATATTTATTAATTCATTTTTATTGTGGTCATTGACCTAAGAGAAAATTATTAAAAATGTTCTAATGAAGTCCCTTTAAAAAGTAGCTTGTCATGCATAATGACTTTACCAAAGGTTATTCAGGTAATTTATTCATGCATTACTGGTCAGTTATAATCAATATATGATGATAAAAATTGACTTTACTGTCTGGAAAGAAAAAATGCACCTCATCTTCCTATAACATACGAGTCTCATGACTTGTAAAACGTTTTTACAACTATCAGAGCCAGCTTCTTTTTGACAGCAAGATTGTTTGAAAAGTAAAGTTTGGGTTTTCAAGGGTTCTCGGCTGCTCATCTGATCAGACGCCAGCTGCTTCGGTCATCATCTTTCCACCAGTTTTACAACCTGTCACCTTTAATGAACATCACTGTGGAGGCCTTGAACCTGGGAGGCTGCTTCCACTCTAATTTATCTTTGTTAATTAGTTCATCAACCTTAATTATCCCTGGTAGATATTGAGTGACACAAACAGAGTGACAGTCACATCCCAGTCCTGCATAACCCGAGTGATGGAGATGCATTAGCATGAATGAAGCAGTTAAACTAACGTGTAACATCTGTGAAGGGACAACGGACTTGTTTACGTCTGTTCTGCACAATTCTCCGTTTGTGTTGAGGATGCAATGTACAGCAAGCTGTTTGTCTATTTATTTGACATCCCCAGTAGCATTGTTGTCGCCTACATGTTCACAACTCCACTAGTTTGGTCTCACCAGTAAAACTTTTTGTTGCACTATTCAACAAACACTCTTACTAGCAGCACTTTTTTGACAATCATTTGTACTTCTATCCAACGAGCTGGTGCAGAAATTATATATTAGTCGTTAATTTTTCTAGTGATGTCCCAACTTCAATTAAAAAAAAAAAAAAAACAGCTATCAGAGTCAGAGAGATTTATTTGTCATACACACCACATGTGGTACATGAGGTGGGATGACACTATGTACACAGGGTCCCAGTTACATCCAACAAAATCACAAATTGTAAAGAAAAACATTAGTAAGATCCGAGTCATGAACTAAGAATATACTACATTCATTAAACTAAGAATACACCTACAGTACAAAAACAATGCGCCAAAACAACAGCAGCATGAACATGAGTCTGTGTGAGCAGATGAGAGCTAATGAACACAGCAACATGAAATAATCAGCAGCATGAGATCAGCAGCACCCATCAACAATCAAAGTGGCATTACAGTGATTTTTCCTTTTTAGAGATTCATGAGTCTAACAGCCTCAGGGTAGAAGCTGTTCCTCAGTCTAGTGGTTCTACACTTAATGCTCATCAACCTCCTTCCTGAGGGGAGCGGGGCAAAAAGTGTGTGCTGGGTGTGTGTGGTCCTTCATGATGCAGGTGGCCCTCTTCCTACATCTGGAGGTGTAGATGTCTGTGATGGTGGGGAGACTGACTCCAACAGTCTTCTGTGCAGCCTTCACCACTCTCTGCAAAGCTGTTCTTTCTGCAGCTGTGCAGCCTCCATGCCACATGTTGATACTGGAGCACAGGATGCTCTCCACTGCACACCTGTAGAAGGAGGTGAGGACTGAGCTTCCTAGTCCAGCTCGTCTCAGCCGCCTGAGGAAGTAGAGTCTCTGATGAGCTTTCTTGATCAGGCTGGTGGTGTTGTTGCTCCAGCTGAGATTGTCATTCAGGTGCACACCCAAGTACTTGTAGCTGGAGACCACTTCCACCATAGATCCTCCTATGTTCGCGGGTGTAGGTGTGTTTATTCCTTCTGAAGTCCAAGACCATCTCCTTTGTCTTTTTCACATTGATGTGAAGGTTGTTCTTCTTGTACCAGCTCTCCAGGTGTTCCACCTCCTGCCTCTAGCTGGACTCATCATTGTCGTTGATAGTGTCTCATCACCACCCGTAATAAAGCTAAATTTAGTTCCATTAGTTGACTAGTGTCTTATTGGCTAGTTAGCAATGCCAAAAAATACTATAGTTGGCTATTTGAAAAGGATTTGGCATATAGCTTTACTTAGCCTAAATGTCAAAATGTGAACTAGATAACTTGCAATGGTAAATTTAGTAGCACTTAGTGCAACTAAAGTTGGAGTTACCTGTTTACTAGTAATGTTCAAAACTCTCACTAGCTGATGGATTTATACTTTTTTGGCTCATAACCCTCATGTGTATTAAATATTTTCTTCAATTTGTCTCTTTAATACAATGGAAATATTTGTGTAACATAAATACTTAAAACCTGTTCTTTAATAGTGTTACTTTTAAACATGGGGTATTTTTCATTCACTACACACTTAATAAACAACATTTTTAATTTCAACTTCAAAAAATTACAGTTTTGAGAAAATATACAGCATCAAAAACCACTTTAAAACTTTACCTATTCACATAATGAACATAATAAATGTGTTACTTCTTCAAATAATTACAGAAAACTCTTTACATAAAACTGAACAGCATCAGAACAGTAGTAGTCAGACCAAGTATCAAAGATTAATTTGTAAACTGATCAATGCCAGAACATAAATAGTGGGTGGGCCAGCGGGGGGTGTCTGGAGGTCCTCCTCCATAATATTTTGAATCAAGTAGATGTGCATTTTGGTGTATTTTATAATGCTGTTAAACATCTATGTAGTTGCAAATTAAAAAAAAAAAATCTATTTTGGTGGACCCCAAGCACCGACTCGCAGACCTCCGAGAACCCCAGCTTAAGAACAACTGAACTAGAGCACCCAAGATGTCAACTAGTGAGCTAATTAATGTGCCCCAAAATGTCAAGCAATTGATTTGTGCACCTAAAATATAGACTAGTTACCTAATAAATAAAGTGTAATTTAGTCTGACAAGTTGACATGTACTCACTGTTGACCATCACTAGTTATTATTTGGTACAATCTGTGTTGACCTGTAGGGAATTATGATGCTTACTAGTTAACTTATACTGCTCACAGTTGTCGACTACTTTAGACCAGTGTTCTAATAGTGCATTAGGCTTTAAACTTCTGCTCCAACTAGTTAAGCAGAAGAGCCACTAGTTAATAAAAAGGTGTTACTAGCAAAGAGCGTTTGTTGAAGTTATGCACCAAAATTTTGAATTAGTGCAAAAAATGACACAACATGAAGGATATGGTTTAAATTAATAATACACAAAGGGATTGCCTTAAAGCATTGAGGCACAAACACACTGAAATCTTCTGACTCATTTACCGGCTTTGCATGAATGGACAACGTACTTATGTAATTAGAAGAATATCAGCATGGAAATAATGGATGAGTCTCCCTGTTCTGCAAAACCAAACAGACTTCTGTGATGCAGAACACCTTCAGCACGCCTGGATTATTTGCCTATGCTGTACAAAGATAAAAAAAAAAATGTATGGCACTTGAGGCAGCCTTGTTTTTGTGAACGTAACAGCAGGTCATCATCATCAGTTCGGCACAGTTTTAATTAAGTTATGGGTTTTTTGTAAAGAGAGAAAGAAAATAAAATTGTGCTTCTTGCTCAGTATTAATCTCAGACAGGTTGGAAAATGCAAACAGATGTTCGTAAAGAACTTTTTTTGAAGACATGCATATCTACAAATTATGTGATAAGGGATAACGCTCAGCTACTACCACACCAAGTTTGTGATAAATCTTGGTAAAACTGGACGGATTTTAGTTTTTATGTTTTCAGTAGTTAATTATCTGTGGAAACCATCTTGAATCAGGCTAACTCCAAAAAAGGTAAATTTGTAGATGTACATTCAATGAATACTTTTTGAAAGTTTCATTAAAATCAGTCACCTGGTTCATAAGATATTTTGCTAACAGACAAATAGATGCATGCAAAGATAGGCAATTATAGTTGTTTATTATGGCGGATGATAAATATGTGCTGTGCTTTTTATCACATTCACGTGTTTTTATTTTTATTTTTCTGTTCTAGGTTTACTTATGAGATTGCTCCAGTGTTTGTGCTGATGGAGCAGCTGACGCTCAAAAAGATGAGAGAAATTGTTGGCTGGCCAAACGGAGAGGGAGATGGGATATTTTCTCCAGGTAAGACAACAAGCTCTGAACAAGACTGAACATCTGAACCTTCTGTGCAAGCATCTCACTCTTCTTTGCTCCTTTATGTGTGGATTTATAGTTTCCTGTGACAAAATAATCTTCATTTGATGCAAGAATTCTGATAATGAATGGAAAGATGGCCAAACCGTTAAAAAGCAGCTGTGCACGATCAGTGTTGATAATAGAAAGCTAAACAATGAGTCAAAGGACACGTGAAAACTGTCAGGAAATATGATAGAAGAGCAAACATCGTATGAAAGAGGAGGCGGGTGCTGGGACAGGAAACAGGAGACATGAGGACAGAAAATTAAACAAAGACACATCAGAGTTGAACAGGAGAGCAGAAATAATAAAGACCTAACATGATAAAAATGCACTGGTAACACCGGCTCTTAAAATGTTTTAGTTACAGTAGAAGCTGCACTAAGAAATTTTTCCTTAAAAAGTAGTTCAATATAGGAATGAAACTTGTATAAGATCAAGGAAATAAAGTAAAGTTATATTTATGTGAACAGCCCTATTTAAAAAAATAACGATGCTTGTTTTTGAGCTGCTGGATGAAACACCAGAATTTATTTACATGACTTTTTTTTTTTTTTTTTTTACATTAACCTACTAAATATGAAGAGGTTTTTCTTCATTAAAACGTTTAACAAAGTGATCACTCAGATGACTACAAATAGCGATTTTATTGACACAGACACTCCCTGGACAGTCTCACAAGTACTTTGAAGTTGCGTCCATCTGACAATATTTTTACCTTGAACCTGTTAACACATTATTTGTTAACTAACACTTTAAGGCACTCACTCGGGCTGACCGGAGCACATACTTCTCAATAATACAATGACAATAATGATAGCAATATGTAAATAGAGAAATTGCATTTCCTGCGAAAATGCAGTGTGAATGCTTATTGCTGAAGAACTTGCTGAAAAACAGCTGACATTAGCTTAAAACATGCTGAAATATGTTGCTGCTGTTAATGTTGCTGCTGGTCTGTTTCATTGTTGATGTGTTCATTCGTGCTCATCTGCTCACACGGACTCATGTTCATGTTTGTGCTGATGTTTGACGTAATGTTTTTACGTTATGAGTGCTTAGAGTATATTTAGTTGATGTTTTTCTTAGTTCATATCTTAGATGTTATTACTGTTTTTCTTTTACATTTTATTGTTGGATGTAACTGGGACCCTGTGTCCATAATTTCGCTCCACCACATGTACCACATGAGGTGCGAATGACAATAAAGAAACTCTGACTCTGATATAGCTGAAATTAAAAAAAAAACAAGCCCAAGTCAGCAGAAGAAAGCAGAAAGAACAAATATTTGTTTAATTAGATTTAAATAAGTAGAAATGGGCACAAAACATTGGGAAATTAGCTAAAAAAGCTGAAATTACCAATAAAAAATACAAAGAAGCTGAAAAGAAGCTGAAAAGGCAGAAAGAAGCTTAAACTGCCAGGAGGAAGTAGAAGGAGCTGAAATTAGCTTTAAAAAAGTAGAATTAGTTGAAAAAGTTAATTTTAGCACAAACAGCTAAAAAGTAGCCAAAATAGCAGGAAAAAGCCCAAACTAGCAGAAAAAAGCTGAAAGGAGCTGAAATTATTAGAAAGAATGTAATTAGGCTGAAAGTGGCAAAAAATACCACAAAAATTGAATCTATCTGAAAACAGCTGAAATTAGCTCAAACATGCTGAAATGCTATAAAAAAGGCAGCTGAAAAGCTTGAACAAGCTAAAATTAACTGAAACTAGCAGAAGAAAGCTGAAAGGAGCTGAAATTAGTAGAAAGAATGTAATTAGGTTGAAAGTAGCAGAAATGAGCACTAAAAAGTGATTATCTGGAAAATGCTTAAATTAGCAAACAACAGCTGAAAAGTAGCAAAAATTTTCAGAAAGAAGCTTAAATTACCTGAAGGAAGTGGAAAAAGCACATTTTTACTGAATTAGGCTGAAAAATGTTGAAATGAGTGAAAAAAAGTGGAATTAGCTGAAAAAGCTAAAATTAGTATTGAAACAGCTCAATAGAAGCTGAAATAGCAGAAAAAGCTGACACTTGCATAAAAAAGCTGAAAGGAGCAAAATAAGTTACAAGAAGCACAAAATTGTTGTAGATGGCAGAAATAATCTAAAAGAATAACAAAACAGCTGACAAAACAGCTTAAATTAGCTGAAAGTAGCTGAAAAAAGTTTAAATTAGCAGAATGAAGCTGAAAGAAGTTGAATTGGAACAAAATGTGAAAGGAGCAGTAAAATGTAAACAGATCTAAAGATTTTAAGTATGTAAAATGAGCTCAATTCATTTTCTATGAGAAAAAAAGTGGCAGAAAAGGCTAAATATTTCAAAAAGCTAAAGTTGCACCAATACCAAAAGCCATCGCACCCTTCTCTTGAACGAGCTGAAAGTTGTGATGTACGATTTGTTGAAATAGCACTGAAACTGTGGAACAAGAAAGATGCTGAAAAACATATGGAAGAAAAGTGGATCAGTTATTGTGTGAATGCTTCATAAGCGTTCACACAATAACTGATCCACTTTAATTGGATTATTGAGCATGCATCAGAATATATAATAATACTTTTAAATTATCCAGCTCACAGGGTTAATATATGTATACATATGGCAGCAGCCATTTTGGATTTTAAAGTGGTAACCCAGGAGTTTTGTTACACCACACAGCCTCACACCAAAATGGAAGTTTGCACTGCACGTATTTTTCAAGTTATCATGCTCACAACATGGACAGATGGACAGAGAGTATTTCCATTTGCCCCCTTTGCTCCGCGATGGGGGACAAAAATGGTCATAAGCTGTGACACATCTCTAATCTATAAGGACATTTACGATAGCTTGAATCGCCTACACTTTCCTGGAATACAAACAAGACATCTCTTACTGGAATATTTTCTCAACCTTGTGCGGCATTTTCCACCCAGATAACCCTTAACCTCACAACTAAACACACTTTCCAACAATAACAGTTCCCAGACAGAATGACCCCAACAGCAGGACGTCAAGCATGTGCAGTCCAAAGTCTCAACTTTAGTGTTAAGGAGTCACACACAGAGATGCAGTCACCATGGCAACAAAACAGAAATACTACCAGATAAAGCCACGACTAAAGAGAAACACTTTGGTGTGTGCAATCCTTTCCTTCATTTCACCTCTGCTGGTTTTTTTTCAGGCGGTGCCATTTCCAACATGTACAGCGTGATGATCGCCAGATACAAGTTCTTCCCTGAAGTCAAGACCAAAGGCATGGCAGCCGCGCCGAGACTCGTGCTCTTCACGTCCGAGCTCGTTAGTCCAATTCTGCCCCTATTTCTGATCGCCAGCTGAGAACATGTACATAAACCTGGACAAGTCTGGGTGTTTTTGTAATCCAGTGTGGTTTGTGACCGACAGTCTTCTGTTCCTGCAGAGCCACTATTCAATCAAGAAATCAAGTGCAGCCCTGGGCTTTGGAACAGAGAACCTGATCCTTTTAAAAACAGACGAGAGGTTTGTCTTTAACTTGCAGGGCACGCTCAAAAAACACAACATTTTTAGATGACCCACGGCTTCTTCTTTTCCAGAGGGAGAGTCATTCCTGCTTATTTGGAGGCCAAAATAATTGAGGCCAAGCAAAAGGTAAAAATGTCCGCTGACGTTTACTTTGGCTCGTTCATTTCCCACAATCCATTTCTTCCTCCAGTCAGAAACACGAGCTGCGAGACTCCCTTTAAGTAAAAGAAATGCTCAGGGTGCTGAAGAAGCAAAAACACTCCTCTCACTTCACTTCTCCTGTGGTCTAGATCTTCTCTTTTGAAAGTAATTTCTAAAAAGCAAAGTGCAGATTAGAAAAAAAAAAAAAAAAGGAACACAGTTATCCCTCTAGCAGTCGGTGCAGACAAAGACGAGTGCAGAAAGAAATGCATCTGCTCATGCAGGGAATGAAAAGAAGCTGAAACTAATGATTTCTTCTTTTGTTGTGCTTTTGTCCTGCAGGGGTATGTTCCCATGTTTGTGAACGCCACCGCAGGTACCACCGTCTACGGAGCCTACGACCCCATCAACGACATCGCAGACGTCTGTGAAAAGTACAAGATTTGGCTTCACGTGGACGTGAGACAAGCTCCTCTTCTATGCACAGATTGATGTGTCTGCTCCGTCTGCTGTGGTTTAAGCTGCGTTGTGTTGTGCAGGCTGCGTGGGGAGGAGGTCTGCTGATGTCCAGGAAACACAGATACAAGTTGAATGGAATAGAGAGGTAAGGAACTAAATGTGGAGTCATTTTGACTCCTTAATGTTCATCGGTTTAATTATTATTATTATTATTTTTATTTATTAGAAATGTATTCATTTCATAAAAAACAAAATAACTATATACAAAAGAAAACAAAAAATATATATACAATTAAAACGTAAAATGAAAGGCAGCAGAAGAAGAATAAATCTTACATCTCCCCCCTTTTCCCCCAGAATATATTCAAAGAAAAGTAATTTACAACAAAACAAAAAACAAAGCTAAATAAAAACAACATCAACTCAAACAACGATTTGTGTAGATACACATTATGCTTTTCCATATTCCTTCAGAAAACTAACTTTTATCATTCTCTTGAATATGTACATAGATCTGGCAGTTTTAACATCATCCTTCAGACCATTCCACAATCCTATTCCCTGAATTATTGTAGACCGCTCCTTCAAACTGGTATGACACCAAGGCTTCACAAACATCTCTATCCCCTTACGATAATAACCACTCTCCCTTTTAACTAAATTTACTTGGATATTACTAGAAGGTAGTATGTTTTTTTACCATTGTTTTACATTCGTTCTATATCTTTACCCGAACAAAGAAATGTAGTATCATCTGCAAATAAAACACATCTAAACAGTCCTGACACATTAACCAGGTCATTTATATATAAAATAAATAACTTAGGTCCAAGAACAGAACCTTGAGGTACTCCACATGTGATGTTACAAAGTTCAGATCTTACATAATTTATTTGAACAGTTTTCTTTCTTCTAAATAACAAGATACCCACTGTGATGCTAGCCCTCTAATACCATATTTATTTAGGTTTTCAAGAAGAATACTGTGGTCAGTAGTATCAAATGTTTTCTTTAAATCAACATACATACTAATACAATACTTTTTTTGATCAACAGCAGTTGTTATACGACACCAACTCCAAAAAAGTTGGGATAATGTTTAAAATGTAAATAAAAACAACATACTAATTATAAAAATTGGAACTGTACTTTAAACTGAACTTATTCAGTTACAAAAAAAAACAGAATTTGTAGATATTTTAAGTCTTGCCATTTGAACTTATTATATTAAATATTATTTGCAGGAATGGGCATTGCCCGCTGCCTTGCATGTCAAAGTTCTAAACAATATAAAAGAATCTTCATGTTATTAGCACTGAAATGTATCCACTACTTTGTGGGATATCTTGTGAACAGACACACAAACTCGTGATCACCTATGTTTCATTGTGGTGGGTGATAATCAGCAACGGCTAAGCATTGCCTTTAAAACTGAAGACAGTCAAATGTAAACATCAAGTTAATATCTCTTGTGCAAGCATAGAGTTGTTATTAAACTTCAGAATCAATTTTTATTTAAACTTATTGTGTGGGAATTGCTCTCTGCTCCCACCACACCAAATTTTAGCTCAAAATGTTTTAAAATGGCAGAATTATAGCCATTTTTCCTATTTAGCTCAGGTGGCCATCTTGAACTTTTTTGATTAGCATTCAGTATGTGTTGCAGACTGCCCTCAGCTATCACTATACCAGGTTGTAGTCCAATATGTGTAAAAATGGCTGAATTATAGCCGTTTTTTTTTTTTTTTAGCTTTGGTCAACTTGGGTTTTTGATTTGCACAATAAAATTTTTACTATGTTTATAAATATACTTATTTTTATATATGGCAGTTTATTTTTTTTTATAATAAAGAAAAGAGTGATTCCCAATCCACAAAATCTATTAGGGTAATATTAATAAAACTTGAAAATGAGCAGATTTAAACATAAGTGGGACACCATGGCAACCAATAAACCGCCATCATTATGCAAATATAACAAAACAAGCTCAGTCTCCAATTTTTAACCAGACTCTAAAATGTGATTTTCTTCCCTTGCAAAGACAAATATGCTAAAGTTTGCTCAAACTGAACTTATTGTTGAGTTACCCCTGATCCACACCATTCCTCTCAGCGTTGTGCTTCCTGTTTTTCCATCTGTGCAGGGCTAACTCCGTCACCTGGAACCCTCACAAGATGATGGGAGTGCCGCTCCAGTGCTCTGCTGTTCTGATCAGAGAGCGGGTGAGTCAGTGTGGAGTTTGCACATGCACTTATACTTATTTAGATGCACACAGCTTCCTCTCATTAACATTGTTTCTCCTGTAGGGGCTGTTACAAGGCTGCAACTCCATGTGTGCGGGTTACCTCTTCCAGCCGGACAAACAGTATGATGTGACGTATGACACGGGCGACAAGGCCATTCAGTGTGGACGCCATGTTGATATCTTTAAGTTTTGGCTCATGTGGAAGGCAAAGGTGTGCATTTATCCACTGTTGCTCTCAATGCTTCTATCAGCCACATGTTGGGTTGTAAAATCTTTTTTTTTAATCTAACTAAAAGGGAACAGTGGGATTTGAGCAGCAAATTGACAAGTGCCTGGACCTGGCAACGTACCTCTATGATAAAATAAGAAACAGAGAGGGCTATGAGATGGTGTTTAACGGAGAGGTAAGATGCCATTTTTCAAAAATCATGAGAATGACTGTATTTTCAAGTGTTTGAGTCAGATTGTGCTTGATTGATTGGATCACTTTGCTTTGCTGACACGGTGACATGGCAGTTTTCCTCAGTACACGTTACAAATGTTGTTTTCTCTTATCAGCCACAGCACACCAATGTCTGCTTCTGGTACATTCCACCGAGTCTGCGCCGCCTGCCTGACGGTGAGGAGAAACGTGAGAGACTGCACAAGGTAATGACTCAATTATCTGTGGGCTGGCCCTCGTTTCTACTTCCTCGCTTTCCTCACGCTGATTTATACACCTTTGCCCACACTGGAGAGGAAAACACACTCGAGTCTGTGTTTAGAGGTGAGAGCAAATATTTGTTTGTAATTCTGTGAAATGTCTGCAACAGGTGGCTCCAAAGATCAAGGCGATGATGATGGAGTCAGGGACCACCATGGTGGGGTACCAGCCACAAGGAGACAAAGTCAATTTCTTCCGGATGGTCATCTCCAACCCTGCTGCCGGCAGGTCAGACATCGACTTCCTGATCGCGGAGATTGAGCGGCTGGGCCAAGACTTGTAAAAAATAGTCTGGATAGGGTGTTTTTCGACCTAAAGGAGCAGTTCAAACCTTTTGAAGTAAAACACTGTGGAAAGGTTTGGATCAGTGACCTGTTGTAGATAGCTCTTTTTACAATCTCACTTTGGAGAAATAGAGTTCAAGTCTGAAGAGACAGATGAGATAACAGCAAGAGAGACACTAAGATCTGAGCAGATAACTCAAAACAACTCCAGTCTCCAAGATTGTTTGATGGTTAAGGCGAAAAACAATATTATGAACATTTACATTAACAAAAATTTTACATTACCAGGCTGTTAAAAAAAGAAAAAGCTTATTTGCAAACACAAATAACAACAAAGTCAGAGCACTTTCTGTGGGAATATCACAATATGGAACAGTCCTGCAATGCAAAATTAACAGCAACACAAAGGTTTAAAAAAAATAGAATTAGCATAAATGGTAATACCGTAGTCCCTCATTTATTGTGGGGGATCCATATCCTGAAGATCCGCAATAAGTGAAAAACTGCGAAGTAGGTATTGATTGAGAGTGATATGGAGATTGAGATTGAGAGTGCAGCCGGTTCTGAAAGTTTCAGAGCAATGAAGAGTCCAAGAGAGCAATGAAGAATCCAGAGGTTTTTGGGATTATAATTCTGTTTTGAGCTAACTACGCACGACTCTCTGAAGGTTTGGTAGTTCTCGACGGAGACGCTGAAACGAGTCAGAAAGGAACTACTCCGACGCTGATTCATCATCAACAGGTAGATGGTTCTATTTTGACCAAGTGTACCGTGAGAAGCTGAGATCGGACGGAGCGTGCAATTTCTGGTTAAACAGATTAAATTTCCCTCACATATTTCCTCTGTAAGATAAATCTCAATTTACTCTTAAACTCACCTCTCTCTCATAAATCAGTACAGATATTTTAGAAATATCTGAAGCAAAGTCCTCAAATCACCGCCGAGTGATTTGAAGTTCATTTTCTGTGAAACTGTCTGTTATTATTTTCATATTTTGCCAAATTAATGTAAATGTTTGATGTTAAACTTTGATTCTGAAAATAAATGATTCCATTCATTTGATGGGTCAAAGATAATAACGTCTCTCGTTCGCATTCCTTTAAATTCAATGCACGGCATTACACAGTCAGAAAAATGAAGAACTCGTGAATATAGTATGCGTATAAACGGGGATATATTGTCATACTACAAAAGTGACACGTACCTCACGTGACTCACTACAAACTGTAAGTAGTAGTTTATTTTATTATTTATATAAATATATATTAAGGTGTTTTAAACCCTTCTCATACTCTTGCAATATTCTAAACAATGTTTCTAAACTCTAAACACTCTATAAGAGCACAGAATATCATGATTTCAGCTCTCTGCCTTTGCTGCTCTCAGCCACCTGCAAGGTTCTTGGCCACGCCCACTTCTCCGCTCTGCACGGGTAACAGCTGATCAGCTGCAGGAGGAAGCTTTTTCTGCAGCTCTGGGCTGGACAAATGTGCAGCAATGTGCTAAATAATTTAAAATAATTTATTTTAAATAAAAATTCCATGCCCATCATGTGGCTCATCCATCAATCCGCCACATATGTCAAGTTCAATCTTATTTTGAAAAATCGCGGTAGAACGAGTCCGCAATAAAAGAACCGCGAAGTAGCGAGGGACTACTGTAATTACTTTGAAACTGGAGATTGGAAATGGCAGCATCTAACTAGCTGATAAATAGCTGTTATCTTCTCTGGTTAGAATTAAACCCTATTTCTCCAAACTATGCATGAAAGGCTATAAACAACAGGTAAGATATTTATTATTCATGCCCTTTTCATCACCTCAGAAGATCTGAACTATCATCTTTTAGCTCCACTCCTGTCCCCTTTGTCTCATGAAGACATTGACATTTTGGCGTATAGGTCTTCATGGCAATGCACAATTAATAATATTATACCCTGTGTGCTTCTTTCCTCTGTCCTTAGCAGCAGTAATGTGTAATTAAACCATTTGCACACCAGGTTATCTTGGGAAAAATAAAGACTAAGCACATTCTTGTTTAATTAGAGATATGTGAAACTTTAAGCACATGGTTAAGATGAGGATTTGAACACTGGGTCCTGTTTATGTACAGTAGATGTAAATTTGTTTCCAAAAAAGTGGAGACATTTGTGTAAAAATTAAAACAGCATGCAAAATTATAGACATTCACAATGTAGGGAAAGTAGAAAAAACATAAAAATGACCCTCACAGATGTAAAAAAAAAAAAAAAAGCCATTTAATGTTTAAGTGTATCATCATTGCCCAAAGTTAAAAAGTCTTTATTCATGTAGAAAAATCTGAGACAAAGATGAAGATCAGTGTTAGGGTGGTTGCAATTAGACTGCTGTGAGAACAGACACAAGTGAAACTCACAGAACTGCCACTTATATACATATATATATATATATATATATATA